CGTTGCAGCCCCTTCCCCCCCCATTCCTGAGTGCGCTGCAGCTGGGGGTGAAGCAAAAGGGCAGCATGTGCCATTCTCCCTGGCTCTGACCGGACTGACACTTTCTCTCTTCTCTGCAACTTACAGGCAAAGATGGGCCGCAGGAAGTCAAAGCGGAAGCCCCCACCCAAGAAGAAGATGACGGGCACCCTGGAGACGCAGTTCACCTGCCCCTTCTGTAACCACGAGAAATCCTGTGACGTCAAAATGTAAGCAGAGCGGCGTTTCTGGTTCCAGTGCCGGGGCGCAGCCAGCTGGACAGCTGTGCTAGGGCTCCAAAGGGTGCGCTTACACTGCCTGTCACTTCTCGGGGTGAAGGGGATAACCTCATTCCCATCTGGGGCTGGGTCAGGAAGTCCTTGCATTGTGGGGTTAGAGGTGTTTCCGGGGGGATGCCAGGCATTCGCTGAAGTGTCATGCTGGCCACTGCTGGAGGTAGGACACTAGGCTGTAGTCTTGGTCTGGTGTGACGGGGGGCGAAGAAGAAGATGACGGGCACCCTGGAGACGCAGTTCACCTGCCCCTTCTGTAACCACGAGAAATCCTGTGACGTCAAAATGTAAGCAGAGCGGCGTTTCTGGTTCCAGTGCCGGGGCGCAGCCAGCTGGACGGCTGTGCTAGGGCTCCAAAGGGTGCGCTTACACTGCCTGTCGCTTCTCGGGGTGAAGGGGATGACCTCATTCCCATCTGGGGCTGGGACAGGAAGTCCTTGCATTGTGGGATTAGAGGTGTTTCCGGGGGGATGCCAGGCATTCGCTGAAGTGTCATGCTGGCCACTGCTGGAGGTAGGACACTAGGCTGTTGTCTTGGTCTGGTGTGACGGGGGGAGGAAACAGGGCTAGATTGGCCTATTGGTTTGATCCAGTGTAGTAGCAAGGGAAGGGTGGACAAAACAGAGTAGATATTCATATCTAGCTCTATAGTGATTAACGCACTGGGCCAGGACTCCAGATATATTGATTCTCTTTCCAGTTCTGCCCCTGGTCTGCTGAGTAGGCATGTAAAAATCCCATTTAACCAGTTAATCGCTTAAACAGAATCTCGCAGGTGGAGGGACCCTCCAGCCCGGCTAGCTCACAGTGATCCCCTGCCTGCAGCACGGTGTGCCAACCAGGCTGGAGCAGCCCTCCCACCCATGTTGGACAGGGGTTAGCTCCAGCCCAGCTGGACCGCCTGTTAACCGGTTAACTGTTTAACCGGTGAAACTTCATGTGTCTCTGCCTCGGTTTCCCCGTTTGTAAAATGGGAATAATAATGCCAGTGTCATTTATATATTGCTTGAGGTCTACACACAAAAAGAACTAGAGCTAGGGGCTGTAGTTGCTATTACTATTAGCACTTATAATCTGTAGATTGGTGAGCCATTTGTCAGGTCTGGCCTGGCAAGGAAGGGGAATGTTACAGAGTAAGCTGGGCCAATTGGTCTCTTCCAATTGGAAATGAAAGCCAGGCTAAAAGGGGTCCATTTGGTTTGATCTGGCATAGGACAGAAAGAGGGATATAAGGCTAAACAGGCCAGTTGATTTAATTGTAGTGTAGTCTGTTTGTGACAGGAAGAGCCATATGGAAGCATTTCTGTAACTAAGGAACTTACTTTTTAAATGATATAAGAGAGCAACTGTAATTAGCTCACAGGAAGGGCATCTGGGGTTTTGCTATACAGGCAGTCCCCGGGTTACGTACAAGATAGGGACTGTAGGTTTGTTCTTAAGTTGAATTTGTATGTAAGTCGGAACTGGTACATATTGTAGGGGAAACTCTAGCCAAACATTTCTCCAGAGCTCAGTTTTATTCTCCCACACCTCGCTTCCCTCAGTCCTTTATTCTCAAGCTGAGGTGTCTGCTGAGAAAAGCCGCTCTGCATCTTCCTGCTCTGCTGGAGGGGGGCGCTAGCTTCGCGTCTCCCTGGTCTGCTGGGGGGAAGCAGGTAGTGCGGGGTTCCCTCACCCTGTTTGTAAGTAGGGATCCGATGTAAGTCGGATCCATGTAACCCGGGGACTGCCTGTACCCTCATCAGCAAGTACTACTGAAGCGTGACTTCATATCATGGATCACTTCCATAAAAGTAGTACTAAAGTGCCACAAGATTTCCTTCTTGGGGTGAAGCTTAGGAAAAAAAATCCCCTGTTTTCCTGTTCATGAGTGTATAATCAACCACACTGGAACTCAGGTTTGTACCATCTCAAATCCTGCACCTTTCAGAGCAGTACAGATGGTTTGCACATTTCCACCTTACTTATCTTCTTGCCCAATGCCTAAATGTTCAGTTCTTTTAACCTCTCATAAATCCTGAGATGGAACATAATCCGTTGGTGAAAGCAGAAGACCAGGAGTCAGGACTCCTGGGTTCTTTTTCCAGCTCTTGCAACCAACTTGCTTCACGATCATGTTGGGCAAGTTGCTTCCCTTCCATTCACTGTTTTGTGTCAGTAAAATGTGAATAACTTAGCAGCTCTTGGGTTGTGATGCTTAATTTGTTAATGTTGTGTCTTGTTTCAGTAGGTACTGTTGAGAAGTGCATTCTTCTGTTCAATTTCTCAAACCACTTGCTCTTGTTTGTTTGCTCTTTGAGCTTTCCTTTGGAAATATTTGCTGTTGGAATATTGTTTTCTATATTCCAGGGACCGGGCTCGGAACACTGGCGTAATATCATGTACTGTGTGTCTGGAAGAATTTCAGACTCCCATAACATGTATCCTTTGCACTTCCAATGACTGAAGCAGCGTCTCTTTACAGTAGTTGGTTTTCCCCATGAATTGATTGAGGGAAACATATATTTTCACTGCAGTTACACTTCAGCCACGGAGGTCTTGGAGTCCAGGTTTTGCTGAGCCCCAGAACTTTGCCGACATATGTCCAAGTATCTGCAAGGTTAGACCCTGCTCTGCTTACAGTCAGCAGCAACAGTTTCCTGGGAGCTTTGCCGCGGGTTAGGTGCTTTCCACGGGATCAGAGCACAGCTTCTTGTGGTATTTTGGCACTTCCTGTTCCAGCCCATGATGGAAACTGGAAGCAAAGAGGCAGCAGCTAAAATAACTAGACAGTCATACAGAAGTGCTCATAGATTCCAAGGCCATGGAATGTGATGTTCTAGGCTGACCTGGATAACACAGGTCACAGGACTTCCCCAGAACAATTTTGTTTGAATTAGGGCTGGTCTTTTAGGAAAACACCCCATCTAGATCCTATCAGTGACTCCAGGAAAAAAAGCTTGTGTGATGCACGTAACTGTTAGGAACTGAATCCAGAAGTGCATATTAAAAAAATAGAATTAACTTCCCAGCTTGCTTTCACAAATTGACTTTTATCATCTTGAAGCAGCTGAAGATGATTGCCTGGAGAACACATTCTTAGTCCATGTCTGCAGCAGGTTCAGGAACATGGTTGCTATGATAGGGAGTTAGGTGCGATTATTGATAACCAGGCTGTCTGCTAACTTCACCCTGTAGTACCTCAGTTTCCCCATCTGAGGTGGGGATAATGATACTCTGCTCCCTTCAAAAGGTGCCTTAAGATCTACTGATAAAAGCGCAAGGAATAGACAGAGCGGTGATTAGAGAGAAACAGACATTTAAAAAGGAAAGTTAAATCTTAATGAGGAAAATAGGAAGGAACATAAACTCTGTCAAAAGAAGTGTAAAAATGTCAGTAGGAAGGCCAAAAGGAGTTTGAAGAACAGCTAGCCAAAAACTCAAAAAGTAATAGCAAATTTCAGTGCCTGAAGAGCAGTAAGTCTACTAAACAACCAGTAGGGCCATTGGAGGGCTAAAGTAGGTCTAAAGGAGCACTCAAGGATGATAAGGTCATTGTGGAGAAACGAAATGGAATTTTTTGCATCCGTCTTCACGACTGAGGGAGTGAGAGAGATTCCCAAACCTGAGCCATTCCTTTTAGGTGACCTATCTGAGGTATTGTCCCAGACTGAAGTGTCATTAGTGGAGGTTTTGGAACAAATTGATAACTTGTTACTGTTAAGTTATCCGGACCAGATGCCATTCCCCAAGAGTTCCGAAGGAACTCAAATGTGAAATTGCAGAGCTGCTCACTCTGGTTGTAACCTGTCTTTTAAATCCTCATCTGTACCCAATGACTGGAAGATAGCTAATGTGATGCCAATTTTTAAAAACAGCTGTAAAGGTGATCCTGGCACTTACAGGCTGGTAAGTCTAACTTTGGTACCGGGCAGATTGGTTGACACTATAGTCAAGAACAGAATTGTCAGACGCAGAGATGAACTTAATTTGTTGGGGGGGGGAGGGGAAGGGGAGTCAATATGGATCCTGTGAGGGGAAATCCTGCCTCACCGATCTACTAGAATTCTTTGAGGGGATCAACAAGCATGTGGACAAAGGGGATCCAGTGCCTATAGTGTACTTAGGTTTCCAGAAAGCCTTTGACAAGGTCCCTCACCAAAGGCTCTTAAGCAAAGTGAGCTGCCACAGGATCAGAGGGAAGGTCCTCTCATGAACTGAGAACCGGTTAAAAGACAAGAAACAAAGGATAGGAATAAATGGTCAGTTCTCAGATTGAACCGAGAGGTAACTAGTCATGTCCTGCCGGAGTCCATCCTGGGACCAATCCTATTCAATCTCTTCATAAATGATCTGGAGAAAGGGGTAAACTGTGAAGTGGCAACAATTGCAGATGATACTAAACTGCCTACGAGAGTTAAGTGTTTCAAAAAGATCTCCCCAAACTAGGTGACTGGGCACCAAAATGGCAGATGAATTTGAATGTAGAGAAATGCAAAGTGATGCCCATTAGAAAACATCATCCCAACTCTATGTATGTAATGTGGGAACTAAATTAGCTGTTCCCAATCAAGAGTGAGGTCCCGGAGCCATTGCGGCGAGTTCTCTGAAAACGTCCTCAGTGGGCAGCAGCAGGCAAAAAAAGTGACCAGACTGTTAGGAGTCATTGAGAAAGGGACAGAGCAGGGTCTCCCGGCCTTTCTTATACCATGGACCCGCAAGCCCATTCACAGACCTTTGGCGGATCAGTAACATGCTATTTGCATATTCATTCTACATAATGAATATGCAAATAAAATGTTGCCTGGGCCCCAGAGCAGCCACGAACAACTGGCTTCAACTCTGGCAGTCACCACGTGGTGGG